GAAATAAATAAAATAAATGAAATAAATAAAATAAATGAAATAAATAAAATAAATGAAATAAATAAAATAAATGAAATAAATAAAATAAATGAAATTAATAAAATATTAAATTAAATCGAAATAAAAAAAAAAAAAATATGAATAAAATAAAAATACAAACCAAGATCTAATACATAAACGTCATCAAAACATTCGTGACCATCACTACCACCAAATACAACTAATTTATTATCAACAAGATTACTTGTATGATATCCTCGAGATATAGGAGGTCCTCCACTTGGTTCTAACTTTTTCCATATCAAATTAGATAAATCTGATATATCTAACATATAAACGTCATTAAGTGCACATACTCCATCTCCACCACCGAAAATATATATACAATTATTATAATGTTCAGTTGTATGTGCTCGTCGAGGTGTTGGGGTATCTCCGGATGTTTGAGGTTTAGTCCATGTCAATGTATCTAATAAAAATGAATTAATTAAAATTAAATTTTTCGTGTATAATAAATTATCATTATCATTAATAACATACCAGTATCAAAAATATATAAATCATTAAAATATGTTGGTCCATCACCACCACCAAATATATATAATTTTTTTCCTACTTTGGTAGACGAATGAGCACGACATGGAGGAGGCGGATCTCCTAAAGTTCTTGGTTTATTCCAATACATTGTATCTTTACAAATAAAAAAAAAAAATTTATTTATTATTTTAGCAAAAAAAAAAAAAATAATAATAAAATAATTTAAAATAATTTAAAAATATATACCCGCATCGAATACATAAACTGAATTAAAACATGTCCTTGAATCACATCCACCAAAAACGAAAACTTGTTCCTCTACTAAAATTGCGGTATGCGATCTAAGTGGTTTGGGTACCTTTCCAAATGTTCTAATCTTTGACCAATACATGGCGGGTGCAGGTGCAGGAGGAACTGGTACTGGTGGGGTTAAAGGTATATGGGGTTCACCATGGTGATTCCTTCTACCTTCTCCTCGATAATGATGACTAGGATGTCGTCTGTTTGGTGTAGGTGATTGAGATTCGCTCGCTATTGAATCGCGTTGATTAGATGACATTGATTGTGGAGTTAAAATTCGATTTGGTGCTCGACCAGGGGATGAAGGGCTAGGGGATATAAGTGCTGAAGTTTGATGATGTTGAGGAAATTGAGGTTGTGATAGTGGTGAAGTTACATGAAAATAATGTGAAGAATTGATGGTATAAGGCGAATTTGGGTTGTTAGAAAAAGCTGAAGTTGATTGCAAACGATCTAATCTTTCAAAAGTTGTTTGTTCAGGAATATTGCGTTGAGAGTCAGTAAAAGAGGGAGAACTTATAGAACTTTGGTTTTGAGATGATGTTGAGGATGGAAGTGGCGTCGGGTCATAATTTTCTTGGCCATTATGATCCCCGGGGGTTGGTGGAAGGGTAGGAGATTCGTCAGGAAAAGCAGGATTAATTGTATCAGTTGGACTATCTGCGTCACCATTTTCAGCCATCGGGAAGTTATATATATATATATATATATGGTTGTATATATTTGATTTCTATAACTGTTCTATAACTGTTCTATAACTACAGAAAGGGATAAAATAAAAATAAAAATAGACGGTTGAAGAAATTAAAATCAAATTCGTTTAATAAAAAAGGGTTGATGAGATCATTGTTTATGGTTTATTCGATATTTCTTATTTAAGAATATATTTTGTGGAAAGTAATTAAGGGTTACACTCATTTAAATTACACAAATTTTATGCATGAAAGATTTTATCGAATCGATAAAAACATTTTGATAGTTAATTAAAAAAAAAAATAATTGTAATGAATATTCTTTAGATCAGACAAGTTTATTAATTACCTTTAAGAAATAGAATTTAAAAATGATAATTTCAATATTTCTCTTCGAACATGTTCAGTCACAGTATATACAACACTAATTTCAAACAAGTTTTCTTGTTCAATAATATGACGAAATGCCAAAATTCCACCCCCAACTCCAAAATAAATAGTTTTAGCAGCAATATATCTAAATATAGTAATCAATAAGGATTTACATTAAGATAATTAAGATGTCAGTCACATTAATATATTTATAGAATAATAATAATAATAATAATAATAAAGGATACGCAACACCATTCGGTCGTTTTAAAGAATTTTTGATGACATTATAAAGCTTGGGAAGAGAATCTGAATTATAAATAGTTTCTGAAGTTAGAATAATATCGTATTTTTCTTCGTTTGATTGTAAATTCATTACTTCCTATATATTTATAAGAAAAGATTATTATTAGAAATATTTTAAAAATCAACTCAATTAAGAAGTTTTTTTTACCAACAATCGACTCCAATCTCCTTTAAAAAATCGACTAAACTTCACTTGTTCTAAACATTTTTCCTCATTGGAAACATTTAATTCCGCTACATCATCATTATAAAAACTATTGATTGTTTGTGAACGGAAAATTGTATTAACAAGTATATTTGGTATAGTAACTAATTTTAACACTTGTTCATTATAATCTTGAAAATCAATACGCAGAAATTGTTGGTTTGAAAGTAAAAAGATGCTTGGTAATGCTGAACCACATCCAAGCTTTATAAATAAATATATATATATAGACATAATTATAATTAAAATATTAAATAAAATTTTTACTTTATTTAGACATCAATAATTTTTTTAATTACCTCTAATACTTTCTTATCCACAAGATCAATATCTTTTATAATTGATGAAAGATATCTAATCAAATCAAGAGAGCACTCCCATGTTTTTAATCCACCTATTATATTAATTAAATTTAAGCATAATTAAAATTATTAATATAATTAATTATTAATTAAAATTATTAATATAATTAATTATTAATTAAAATTATATAATAATAAATCATAACTTTAATTTACCTTCATATACACCTTGAACCAAATCATTTTCGGCTGTCAATTCTATGATTTTTACTGAACTGTAAGAATTTTGATCAGTTTCATCTAATACATCTTCCTGTGCTATTTGAAATTTGACATCGGTGACAAGTCTTTTATAAAGAAAGGTTTGTTCCATTTCTTCCTTCGTTGAGAAATAGACTCGTTCAATCATCAAACTTTGTGGAAGAATATCTTTCTAATATATATATATATCATTCGAACAATAAAATTAATTCGAACGTTGTTAAAGTTTTTTCTTTTATTATTATGTCAGTTAACTCAGTTAACTCAGTTAACAAAAGAATAATCCCTAACAAGCACTTTACGAGACTCGTAATAAGTATTTCGTCTGCAGGAATTAATTTAGAACTAATCTTCGATGCATTATTATTTTGAGTCTGCTCGTGTGGAAGTTTACTATTATCGTCCACCTCATCAACTAAAATTACTTCGTCTTCAGTATTAATATTTTCAGACTATCAAAAGTAAAAAAAAAAGTTAAAGATCAAAATAAAAAAAAAAGTTAAAGGTTAATAAAAATATAGAAATTGGAATAATTCTAATAATTCACCAAAAAATTGAATCGAAAAGTCATAATTGATTTTTATTATTTTTTTTTTTTTATTTTTTTTATTGTATTTTATTGTATTGTATTGTACTACGAATGTTGTACAATCGTCGAAAACCTTAAATAAATGTATATAAACTTGTAATTACAAAAGATTCATTTTTTCAAAAAAATAAATAAATTATTTTTTTTATACAAAAATGCCAATTTTACCAACGGTTTCACCACATTCTTCTTTTCATGATGAAATACCTCCTCCTAAACGAAGGAGGAATTCATATTGGACCGCATCGATTCCGATATTTTTACGACGATTGTTTCGATTTCCACAAATGGTAACATTTATTTTGTTAAATAAAATATATATATTTTTTTTCGTAACATATTTAACTAAGCTTTACCAAGCTTTTAATAGGATTTCGAGTTCGCATTTTGGCAAATGCTTTATTTATGTATAGCACCGCGAAGAGTGTAAGTACTTTCTTTTTAACATATTGTATTTTATTTTTTTTTGAAAAAAGTATGATCTATAAATAATAAAAATTATTTTCATATTAATAGATATCGTAATATTTATTATCATAAACGTAGGCATTTAATTTGAGAATGAAAATAATTTTGGAATTTTTGTTCATCATAAATTTATCATAAATTTTTATGTAGAAACAAAAAATCAATGGGCTAGAGATGATCCAGCTTATGTTGTAATTTTATCATTCTTTTTGGGAGGCAAGTTTTTAAAAAAATTTTTATTGAAATAAGCCATTCTCTTGAATTTTTTTTTTTTTTTTTTGGTAATTATTTAAAATTTTCAAATCTCTCAAAATATAAAGTATCCGCGATTGCTTGGGGATTAGTTTATGGTCATGGACTTGTTGGAATTCTTAAAATGTCTCTTTTCATGATCTTTGTAGATTTTGTAGTAGTTGGAATGGTTATATCAACGATTTGTTGGTAATTTATTAATTTAATTTAATTATTAATTTTAATTTATTAATTTATTAATTTATCAAATTTTAATTAATTAAAATTTTAATTTATTTTATTTATCATCACACACATAATATTATCACACATAATATTATCACACATAATATTATCACACATAATATTATCACACATAATATTATCACACATAATATCTCACACATATAATATCACACATTATTAAAGGGCATTTGCCAACAGATTTTTAACACATAGACATACGATACATGCTGTTGAACAAACAGTGGAATGGGCTTACGCATTTGATGTACATTGTAATTCATTTTTCCCATTATTTCTAATTCTATATATAGCTCAATTTTTCCTCATCCGAGTTTTGACACAACAAATTTGGATCTGCTTATTCTTGGGTAATACAATGTATTTTATGGCAGTAGGATATTATTGTTATATCACATTTCTTGGTTATAACGGTAAGATTTAATAAAATTTATTTTTATTTATCTTTATATTATTTATTTTATTATTATTATTATTATTATTATTATTATTATTATTATTATTATTATTATTATTTACCTTTATTAATTAAATGATATTCAAGATATTCACTCATTATTAACAATTTTTATGAAAATTCCCAGCACTTCCTTTTCTTTTACATACAGAAATGTTTTTATATCCGGTAGCAATTTTCTTAATAATTTATATCATTTCATTATTTGGATTTAATATTAGTGCAATTGTTTTACAACTTTACTTTAAATTGTAAATTAATGTTATATAATAATAAGAAATTTTTTTTGTACGTTTATTTTGCATGTTTATTTTGTATTATTTAAAAAAAAGGAATCATAATTTTTATTTATTTATTTAATTATTTTAATTATTGACTTTTCTTTAATTGTGAACATATAGAAATTAAACAAAAAAAAAAAAAAAAAAAAAAAAAAAAAAGCTTTCCTTTAATCACCACCCAAACAAAAAAAAATTCATCTCAAAAAACCTTTTCATGTACAATATCCATATATAGTTGTTGGATAATATGTTAATTGTGTCATTTTTTTTTACTTAATAATTCCCCTCCATTAATCAAATTTCTATTGGTTTAGATAAAAAAATTACTCACATTCTTTTTATATAGTATTTATCATTCTCAAATTTGGATTCAAAAAAAAAAAAAGAGTGAGAGAAGGCAAAGAAAATCTCAAATGTTCATGGATCATCGAGAACAAATGAATGGATAAAAATAAGAATTCTATGTTTAAATAAAAAGATATAAAAAAAATTACAAAGAAAAAAAAGTGAGTAAAAGATAAATAACAATATTCGGAATGTGAATATATTCATATATTTATATTTTTATAAACGTGACTTATATTAATCATAATTAAAAAATCTTTTTTTTTATTTGCTTTTGTTCGATTCTTTAAAAGGTGCACAATCCTGTTTATGAACCTTCCAATCCTTTTTCTGGCATTCTTTAGAACAATAATTCGCACGCCCACAACCTGCACAAACTAACAAAGTTGTTTGTTTTTCATTATTTAATCCTCCGTTTACATCTTTTCTTGTGAGACTGCTACACTTATTACATCTTTTCTCTTTACCATCTGTTAATGTTAGAAAACGTTGTAAAATTGGTGCTAATCTTTCAGCCTCTTTCTCATTATCCTTTTCTACTTTAGCAGCTTTATTTCCTTTTGCTTCAAAAAGTGCATTCGCCGTATGTTTTACATCTGTCATTTCAGGTGGATGCCCATACAGGTATACATATCTTTTTTCCGCCTCTTTGGCCTTTTGATAATAATTAAAAGCTTGTTGATTACGCAAATTTTGCATAACTTGCTTTCGATTTCCCGTCGTTGTTGTGGATGTGGCATTTTGACTCGTAAGTACAGATAATGCGTAAAGTGCGTGAGGATAAGAGGTTGAGTCTTTATTGGCCTTTTCAATATAAACCTTAAAATTACGTGCAGCTTCTAATCTATCTCCTTGTGACATGTGTATAGATCCTTGAATGCTATAAGCATCAACGAAATTTGGATTAATAGAAACCAGACGCTCAAGATCTTTGATACATAATTTATGTTCCCCGATGGCATGATAACATGATGCCCGAAGGTGGAGAAGGCGCGGATAAAGGGATTGCTCAAGTTGATTAAGAGCCAAGTTAAGAGTTTGAATACAGAACTGATATTGTTTACCGTTGAAGAGGAGCCAGATAACGAGTATAAGCGACCTTATTCAAAAGAAAGTGTTTAGATGTAATTTATTTGATTAAAACATTCACGAGATTATTTGGTAATTTTCAACTTACTCTCTAGTAAATTCAGGTTCAATAGAATCAACTTCAGTGGGAGTATGTTCTTTATCGACCTTTTTTTCTTCCACCCCTTCATTATCCTCCTTATCCTCTTTATCCTCCTTACCCTCCTTATCCTCCTTACCCTCCTTATTCTCCTTATCCTCCTTATCCTTCTTATCCTCCTTATCCTTCTTATCCTCAAATACCTCTAGAATTTTTCCATCCGCATCTTTTTTTTCAGTATCTTCTCCAGCATACTGTAATTTTAAAAGTTTTTCATACTGTTGGGCGAGAGACATTATTCTGGGAGACATATCGGTTGCTTTCTCGTCTATTAAAAATGCTTCAACCAGATATTTTGTAGATTCCAAAATTTTCTGTTCATATTTTATTAAAGTATTTTCCTCCGAATCATTTGGAATTTTAGAAGCTATCTCAAATCCTTTGTCAAACAATTCTTTTGCTCTAAAATACTTTGGGATTTGAAACAAATGTTAGTATCCAAGTAATAATAATAATAATAAATTTTAACCGACAATTAATAATATTAATATAATTTACCTCTGCAACCTCCGGATCATTTGTTTCTTTTCTTTTGCCTCGCTTTTCTAACAAATCATATTCTTGTCTATTTGATTTATCCACGTTTTCCTCATCGGGGTGGGTGTGACCGTAAAGATAATTATCGTAAGAATGTCCATAGTGAGCAGCAGGTTGGTCATGAACATGGTGGGAATGATCGTGTTCATGATCATGCTCACATTCGTGTTCATGATCGTGTACATGATCGTGCCCATGAACGTGTTCGTGATCGTGCCCATGAACGTGTTCATGATCGTGCTCATGATCGTGTCCATGATCGTGTCCATGATCGTGTTCATGATCGTCGTGTACCTGTTCGTGTTCATGAACCTGATCCTGCTCATTGGTGTTGAAATTTTGGTTCGTGTAGGGTTGTGCATCGGCGACGTCGGTCATATCTGTTCAGTGATAATTTTTTAAATGAAGAAAGAATAAAGCTTATTGTGTATCTATTTTATGTGAAACAAAATGATTTCAGTTCTTTGGTAAAAATGAATATAGTAAAACAAAGTGTAACATCTACAGTTTATCTATCTCTGTACCACTTAGCGCGCGTGCCGCACCTTTTTTTATCAATGGAAAAATGGAAAATGACACTTGATCAACAAAAGGTTAATTTGATTGTTATTAAGAAAAAAAAAAAAATTAACCTGATATATACTTAAAAGATGAATATCCCTTCAATAGATAATAAAATTATACTTTAATTATGATTCTGAAACTCATAAGGCAAAACGTGTAAATAGGGAAATTGCCCATGAGTTATACCCCTTTTATCAAATATGTATCACATGAATAGTAAATTTCCTGATATATCAATATAATTTATCGTCTTTCATTTTTGTCTATTTTCGTTTTGCGCATAGTGTTCAACGAGCAGCTTCGTTTGTGGTATTTTTTCAGAGCCTTATGCGATGTAAATGAAGTAACACGCGAAAATATCATGGTAATTTTGTAGTAAATAGATAATCATATAAATATTTTTATTTATTATTTCTTTGAGTTATAGATTTTATTTCGAAAAAAAAAAAAAAAATTTATATTTTAAAAGTCAATTTTCTTGTGTATATTTTTTATTTTTACAATTATACAAAAAGAGACGAATACATTTATTCAATAAAACATAATCAAGGAATATATCAGATCAATTAATTTCATTTGTAAAAATAATAATAATATTAATAATAATAATAATAATAATAATAAAATCTAATGAACGTAGAAATGATTATTATATTTGGATTTTTTTTCTAATATAGGTAATTCGAGGATCTATTATATCATATACATCATTTACAAATTGGTTTAAAAATTATTATTATTTTTTAATTATAACAAAAATTATCTAAATTTTAAACATTAAATTCTTAAAAATAAAAATACAAAATTTTTTAAATATAATAAAATTATTTATTTCTAATTAACGGCCTTTATACGAATACAATCATCTTGGGAACCACGTTGTGCTACTGGCATTACCACAGGTTGATGAGTTAATGAAGAGCTCAATGTACAAATTCTGTAATTACCAGCGGGCAATCCGGGTGTTACAGGAATTACTATTTTACCCTGACCATCAGCTGGGTCGTCTGCTCCTTTGAAGAAAGCAAATACGGAAGCATCTGGAGGGGTCTGAGCATTTGGTCCAGCAATTTTTTGAACAGTTACGTGAGTATGACCTATAATAAATCCACCTCCATTAAGGGTTTGAGAAGTGACATAATATTGTGTTTGAGGATCACTAAATGCACCAGTCTGGATATTAGTAATTACCATTTCAACATTAAAAGGTTGGTTAGCTTTGACTATGCCTGTATTGGGAGGTTTCGTGATGATGCAGGAGACCATTTTGTTAACACTTGGAAGTTCGCCAATAACAGTTGATACACAAGCTCCATCTCTGTTTTGAGTACCATCGGCTGGTGTTTTTTTTGAATTTGCGCAAAAGCCATTGTTATCGTTATTGTTATCATCGTTATTGCCAAAGCCATTGGGAGTGTTTTGACGTTTTGTATGATGGCGAGAGAGAAGCAAGGTAGAATTTTGACGTTTCGTATGGTGGCGAGAGAGGAGTCCAGCAGAATTTTGACGTTTAGAAGGATGATGAGAGAGGACTTCAGTAGAAAGAGCGAAGAGAATTACACAGAAGAAAAGAAAGAATTTCATTTTGATATTTTTTTTTTTTAAGAATTTAGTGTTCGCGATTTATAATGCACCTGGCAATATTTATTAAGAAAAATAAAGGAAATTAATTGCTCCTGGCAAATTAATATATTGTTTTCTTATATGTTTATTTGATTACCTATTGTTTTTTTTTTTCGAAAGGCGTAGACTGAAGTCTTTTATACATTCTTGACATTTATAAAATTATTAATATTTGATTAGTTTCAAGCGAATACAATTAAAGGAATATTTAGTATGAAACGTTTACTAATAAAGAATAAAGTTACACTAATTTGTTAAATTCCAAATACTTTTGATGAAACGAAAAAAAAAACATATTGAATTATCATTCCAGCCTTACGATTTTTGATAAATTTTTTTCTTTCATTCTAAGCAATGAGGGGCTAAAGAACATAAAGTGTTTGAGAAGATGATTATTAATCTTTCTTTACCAACATAACTTTCATATTTAACTTCCACATTTTTTCATTTTTTTAATATGATCCATATGATCCATTGTTTTTACCCCTTATCTATTACTTTTTTATTTCCTTTTTAGATTTGTTTCAAAAAATTAATAAACTAATTTTTCGCGTGATAGAATTGGTTCTTACGTGTTAGAAATTAAATCTATATATTTCTTTTCACGTAAAGAGAACGAGAAAAAGATAAAATTAATGGTTAATTTATTACGAACCCGTTATTCGTTTAGCTTTAAAGAACTTCACTGGAAAAAAAAAAATATGTGACATTTAATGAACCCCTTATTTATTGCGACTAAAAATATTATAATATATTTATTTTTTACTATTTTGTTATAATTTATCTATTACCATTTTTATTCTATTTTATGTAATTAACGCCGCATTATATATTAATATTAATTATTCTTGATTTTATAAATTATTTAGTTTCATTCTTTTTTATTTGGAAATTTTTTATGATAAAAGCCTTTACTAATTTCGATTTAGAATCTTATGCAGTAAAATATGTTTTGCTTTGTAAATCATGAATAAAAGAGATTTATTATAGAGTTAGCATCCACATTTTTTATGCATTAATTTTTTTTTTTACACAAAATGATCAAGGAAAATTATTTAAATTAGAAAAGAGAGTTTTTTTGATCATATAAATCTAAATAGGTAGCACATTGTAGAACAATAGATTTTTTTTTTGCTATCTCAAGTTTAAAGAATGGGCAAAATCACGTTTTTTCATCTATACACTTTATAACTATTATATTTTAAAGGAATAGCTTGATATGATTTTCTTTCCCAATATCATTATCAAAATTGTCATTATTTAATTAAAATTCCTCCTCTCAGCCTGGTCTTCTATGAAGATCTTTCACACAGATTAATAAAATAATTTAATTTCGGACCCATAAATAGGCATTAACTTATTACTCAAATTTAGAGTGCATGGAAAAATAGACCAAATTTATCAAAGAATATATAAATAGACTTATTTTTGGAGATTTTTTCCATTTTTGTTCATGTTTGCCGCAAAAAGAGGTTAAACTAAGAAAATCCATAAAACAAAAAAAAAGCGAACAAAGATATTTGATAGTAAGATACAACTAAATCTAGTACAAAAAGATGAGAACAAGGTCGCACTGAAAATCAATTTTATTTTTTTATTTTTTTTTACATTTAAATTACAAAAAAAAAAAAAAAAAAAAAAAAAAAAAAAAAGGAAAAATATTTTAAAGTTCATTATTATGTGATAATGAAGATTTCGAAATATCTTGATTTTGATCTATTTTTTCATCTATAGGACATAATATATATTTGGTTGTTTTACCAATACTATAAGATGTCATTGAATCATGTACGAACTTTTTCAATTCACTAATAAAAGGAACCTTTGAAGTAAACAAGTAAAAGGGTACTTTGATTCTAGCTGTTTCTGAAATTAATTTTATTGCGAGATGTTTATTAATTGTTTTCAAGACCGATTTTGGAATATTTGATATTATTTTTTCCATCGTTATAATAGTTAATTTCTTTGCTTTTTCAGTGATTGAACCCTTTATTTCGTCAGATGCGATGCATAAATATATTAATGTTCTAACAGAATCATCATTAACATTTAGATTTCCAAGGGATACTATAGATTTGACCATATGAATTTGAATAGTTAATGTGCTTATAACATCGACAAATAAATTAGTTTTGAAGTCAAACTTAAAATTCTTTGAAACTTGAGATAAAACTAATGACGATAAACCAGCGGATAAAGAATTATAAAATATCGACCTATCTGCGTATCTATGATAATTCTTATCGTTTGTACTACAAGTAGATGATGATAAATATTTATCTACTGTTTGTTTAGAACGAATTACAATTGCACTGAGTATTGTTTGTAGTGGCGCATAACGTGGAGCATATGGCGTAAATTCTTCTTCGGTTCGAAAGTATGGTAAACCTTTGTCAACGTTATCATAAATTGCATCTAATATTATATTTGATCTCAAAATATCTACTTCACGTTCTAATGACCCATAAGTATATTCTGATTTTTCCTTAAATTGATCTTTATGGAGTGTACTTAATATTTCTATACGATTAGCTAACTCTACAATTATTCTCCGAGGTTCCCATTCATCATATACCATAGAAGAGTTTCCACGAATACATAATTTTGATACACCCGTCGCCCATTCTTTTAGTTCAGTATAATCTTTATGATCGATAGTCACTCCTCCATCTCGAATGGGCTTGTCTTCAATTTCTATTATAATTTTCTCAAGTAATTGTAAATATTCATTTTGATTATTATCTAATTCCGCTAAAACTGTTGATTTTTTTATTGGCATAAAAAGTGTAAATGTTAAAAGGCACATTAGAAAAATATTCGATATCTCCATGTTCAAGTACGAAACAATAGATTCAACCAATAAAAGGTTTCTCATCACATGTATCATATTTAATTGTGTAACTTGTAAACTTTTAAAAATTTGTTTATTAAAAATACAAATAAATATTTCTCATCTCATCTAATAATAAATTAAATAATTTTATAATTTAGCTTTGGATTCATCTGAGCAGTACCAGGCCATCTCGTATTCTTTATGGGTAAAGCTGGATAAAAAAAAAATATTAAATTAGAAGAAATGCGTCGTTTATTATCTGCAAAAGTTAATTTATTTTATTTTATTTTATTTTTTTTTTAATTCATACCCGCATTTCTCGTAAAAAGGAATATTCTATGTAATTATAAATTATATTTATTTTAAAAATTTAAAGAAGAAAGGATCACGAAATGATATCAAAAATTATTAACCAACCTGTTTAGAACAGTCTAGAATAACTGGTGAAAAATCCGAGAGAATTAAATTTAAGTTTTTAAAAAAGTAAACCATTTTTTCGAGCAATCTTTACAAGTTACCTTTATAACATCCAGTTTGAGCCCCAATATATTTGAGAGCTTCGATAATTCTAGTACGCGTTAATTGTATAGTTATTTGTAAAAATGATAAATATAAATATATATATATATATTGAAAAGCTTCAATTCTTTACGGTATATAATATCACCTTAAACCAAGTTTCTTGCCTTGCTGATTCTTGTCAACAGCAATGTCTTCAATATGTCCTACCTGAAAACCAAATAATTCGAATTTTGTTAAAGAATTGTAAATCGAAAAAAAATAAAAAAATTCAATTATAACCTACTAATCCAGTGTTACGGATAAACTTGCGTTCAACAAAAATTGTCCCAGACCCTACTATTCGATCCTCAGGAGAAACAATCACGAGAGTAAAATATTCATGATTATGTGCTTTCAGATAATGAAATCGTTCTATAAAAATATAAATGGCGTAATTAGAAATAATAAGAAATATATTCAATAATTCTACAGTAATTCTATTACCGAGAAATTGCGCTTTAGAAATATCACCAATGACGGTGAGAACCGATAGTACGTCGAGGAAACCACGTTCATAGTCATCATTTGCTAATGGTCTAATAGAATAACCTTTAGGTAATGCTGCTTGAACTTTAGGAGAGATGAGATCTTTAGAGAAAAGTATGTTACTGGTATACATTTTGTAACGTGTTCGAGTATGTTCAACTGTTGTCGTGTATATAAAATAATTAGTATTTTTTTATTGGTCAAGAAGACAACCCCCTACAGATTTGTTTTGTTATGTGACTATTGACTATTGGTCAACGAAGGTGCTCAGATTTCTTAAAAAACAAACTAATAAATATTTTAAATATTTCTAACAATTATATAACTAACCAATCATACCCCGAATTTAATCACGGGATTGCGTTTTTATGGTTAAAGTAACGGTAACACGAAATGCGATTTAAAAAAATATATAAATGTGGTAGTCATTCCCCAAAAAAAACATCATTATTACTTTAAATTTTAATAATAAAAAAAAAATGGTAGATTTGATGAATTTGATGAATTTTTTAGGTTGGGCATTTTTTCCTCAATTAGCGACGAATTTGGTTCAAAAAACATATTATAAAATATTTGGAGTTAAACCTCAACAACCAAAATATGAAATACATCGAAGAAGAATATATATTTTTATTATATTAATTTATTTATTATACACTGTCGCTGACGTTATTACTTCTAGACCGCCGAATTATTATAATGTTCTTAAAGTCGATCGAGATTTCACTCCAAAAGAAATAAAGACCAATCTTAGAAAACTGTGAGCTTTTTGTGGTTTTATTATGTTTTATAATAAATATATAAACGTTAAAAACATTATATGAGCATATTTGTTTCTTCAAAAAACCTTTTAGTCAACTAGCTTTTCATCCCGATAAAAATAAGGGACAAGAAGGACAAGAAGGAGCACAATTTATAGAAATACGTGTAGCCTATGATACATTAACGGATCCAGTAAAACGTTTTGCATATGATAGGTTTTTATATTTAAAATATGTGTTATTTGTTTTTTTTTTTTTTTGTTTTTTTTTTTTGATAGTTATAAGGACATATAAATAATTGACATTGTGATAATATAGATTTGGACCACAAATTAAAGAATGGAATGATTGTTCAACTATTCGCGATTATATTGCACAGAGTTGGGTCACTTTTGTAGGATTTTATACTGGGACAGGGATTCTTCTTTTAGTTCTTTACATATTAGGAAAAGGAAAATTTGGACGTTTTTGGAGATTTTTAATATTTTTTAGTATGGCTTGCACTGAAGCTTCAATGATTTTAAATCCTGAACAACCAGGAATTATTTCATATATTTTTTCTCGTTGGATTATTTTTGAACAAATTAGTATTCTTCGACAATCTTTCGTTGTCACATTCATAGCAATATCACAAGTGGGACCAATTTTGTTTCCTGATGAAACAAATATTCGTCCTGCTCTTCAAAATCTCGAAGTCCTTAGTAGTTATGCAGCAGAAGAAACTAAAAATCAACTCAAATTGAGTTTCCGACCATTTCAAGGAGATCCTAATGCACAAGAATTAGTGAAAATGAAAATGAAAGAATTGTATATTGATAATTTTTTGCAACATAATAATCCAGAATTTTATAAAATCAACAATGAAAAGTATAATCGAATAATTCCAGATCAAAAGAAAGACAAGTAAAGAAATATTGTATATTCTCTCTCTTTTTTTTTTTTATTGAAAACTGGAATGCCACAATTTCTTTTGATATAGCAATTTTTGATTTTTTTTTTTTGTTATAACATTTTCTGTAACATCACTTATCTAATAAAATATTATGCTCCAAGATTTACATTAATTATGTTATGTTATTTATATTATTTATATTATTTATATTATTTATGCAAAATGACTTGATCATATATGTTTTAAATTTTTTATTATTTTGACTATAAAGTAATATACATAACTATCCTTTTTTTTTAAATAATAATAATAATTATTTTAATTATTTCCAAATCCAAATATTATTTTTTTTTTATAATTTAAACTTCATCAACATAGGCGGAAAATTCGCCATAATCTCTATTGTGTTGTCCTCGAACTGATGATGATGATGTTACTTGTTCATGTATACGCACATCTTCATCGTTTGGACTTCCATAATTAATTGCTGCATCTGATATAATCGATGTGGTTGTCATTGTTATTTCTGGATCAGAATCAACTCTTTCTATGGCGGTTTTAACAACGTGCATCATTTTTGGATCGAAATTTAATGCCAACGTAAAATTTTGAGTAGCCTTGGCGCGATCTCCCATTGCCTTATAAATCTTAGCCACCAGAAAGTAAACTTTAGGTTCGTTGGGTACCATTCCTTTAAGTTTTTCTAGTTCAACAAGGGCCCCCTTAAAATAAATTAATTATTAATAACATTATAAAAAAAAAAATAAAAATAGATTAGATTAAAATATAAATATATCTATCTGTCTATCTATCCATTTATATTGACGAGAATAAAAACAAATTAAAAAAATACATCATATTTGTGATCTTTATATAGAGATTTGGCTTTTTTAAAGATTGCCAAAGGTGTTTGTGGAGTAACTTGACATGCTCTGTCATAAAGTAATCGAGCTTCGTCACCTTTTCCTAATTTTTCTAATACCTATATTATATTTTTAAAAAATGATATATTTGATTTACTTGATTGTAAATATGTAATAATATATAAATAATATATAAATAATAGATTTAATTACCTTTCCTAAGCAACACATAAGCACGGCATGATTAGGATTAATCTTCATAGCTAACCGATAATGTATTTCTGCTGATTCTGTTTTGCCGCAAGTAATGTAATAATTTGCAAGTCCGTAACTGTGAATAATTAAGGTGTATAATAATTAAGATTAATTTTTTAATATTATAAAAAATAAATAAATTTTAATAATTCAAATAAAATAAAATAAATAAAATTTTTTTTAAAAAAAAAAAATTAAAGTTAAAAATAAGTTATAATACTATACAGTGCATTATAATGACGCTTATTTGTGTTTAAAGCATATCTAAAGTGTTTTTGTGCTTCTTCATAATTTGCATTTGACATACATTCATGACCAGATAAAGTGTGTGCATAGGTAAATGAAGGATCAAGTTGTATAGCTCGTTGAAAACATTTTAATGCCAAATCATGTTCTTGTTGTCGACTAAAACAATTTCCTACTGCACACCAGGCTTGAGGTGATTTTCGTTCAAATTCTACAAGTTCATGTGCAAGTGCACTGAGTTCAGGATCTTTACGTAAATGCCATAAAGTAGTTGAATATAATTCCATATCTTCGAGGCGATAAGGTTCTAATTGTCGCGCTTTTTGAAAATATTTTTCCGCCTAAATGAAATCGTGGTGATTATAAATAAGAAATAATAATCATTAAGAATCGATTTTTTTTTTTTTTTGTGCTGAAGTTATATATAAGTACTGATAATAATAATAAAATTTGTGAAATTAAAAATTAATTATTACCATTGGATAATTGACCATTTCAAAATATGCCTTTCCTATATGACTTTGGACCCACGCTGTATTTTTATGTGAAGCAGGAAGCTCTGTAAATGCTTGAACAGCGTTTGCACATTCATATTGACTTAAATACGCGTATCCTCTTCCTAATTGTCTTAACACATCTATTATTTCATTTTTACATTGAACTCCTTCCATTTTATCATCAAATGATTCTGTTCCACTTTGTGAATCCAATGTGGTTTTTTTCAGGGCTTCGGACTAAATTAAATAAATGAATGAATTAATAAATATCACGTGTGAATGATAACCTTTGATATAAGTATTTAAATAAATATCGCATAATTAACGTATTTACAACTTCATTTTCTACGTTTAAGGTTAATTTTCCGTCCCTTGCAACTCTAGAACGTTTCTTTTCATCATCAAAGCCGGATGAAAATTTATCATCACTGGCGATACGTGATCGTTTTTTATCTCTATTATCGGTAGCAGTAGAATTCAAGGGTACCGTGGCTTGCTATTAGATAATATCAACTGTATATTAATAATAATGTTCATAAATATATAATTTTTTAACAGTGAAAATATGCAAACCCTTATGGAAGAAATTCGCGTACTTCGCCGCGCGGGAACTTGAGTTTTATCTTTCTTTAGAGTCTAGATTCCAAATTACATGGATTTGTAAAATGTATTACTTAAATCAAAAAAAAAAAAAAAAAAAGAAAGGAAATAAAATGTTTTACTTACCGTTTGAGGTAATATTATTTGTGAATTACGGTTTAGATCGGTGCATGGAGATCGGGCAGTAGACTTTTCTGTAGTTAATTGAAATATTTCATCGATATCTACTTGATTTGATTTACCTATTTTAATTATATTAATTATATTAAATTATAATAAATTAGATTAAAATTTATTAAATTATATTAAATTATAATAAAATTTTATTAAAATTATATTAAAATTTATTAAATTATATTAAAAATATTAAATTAAAATTATATATTAAAAGCAAAAGTTAAATAATTATAATATACCAAGTTGACAAAGACTTTCAAAGGCTTCCCACATGAAAGGATTTTTCTTTATACAACGAAGGTAATATTGTGCGGCATCTTCAATACGACGCGCTTGTTTACACAAAGCACCTAGTAGGCATAAAACTACAGACGCGTCAGGTTGGTTTTTTTTGATCCCCGAACTAAAAGGATCTGTTTATTAAACATTTAAATAATGAATACTGAAAGAATTAGAATATAATAATAATTGTAAGAAATTATAATATTTGGTATCAAGAATTTTCTAACTTCAAATAAAATAAATACTACATTGGTTTTGCCAAGATCTATTTAAAAAAAAGTTACCTATAGGATCCAATTCTTCAACTTCGGGCAAAATAGATGTAAGTTTTTCTCTGCCTTCTTCTGCTTTATTAAGTTCCAAGCAGCATTTTGCGAACAAATATTTGCATTTTAACGTTTGAGCTTCTTTTAATAATACATATGCAGCTTTTTTTTGTCCATTACGATAAAGGCAAGTTGCTAATAAAAAACGCGAATTCTCGTTGTTGTGATCTTGTGCATATAATCTTTCTGCAAGGAAAATTGCGTTTCTATATAAATTGTTATCTAGCGAATGCCATATCATATTTTCCATTTGTGTTAATAGATTGTTTTGTTCAATCGAAGTCATTTTGAATAAAGAAGATACGATAACAATGTCAATGATGTGACCAAATGGGGTAAATTTTTGCTTGGGTTACACAATATAATTTTAAAATTATAAATAGAAGGCTTTTTTCAGTAAAATTATTACATATATCGCTGTCAAGATTAAGAGGTTGTTTCGGATCAGGCTTATTTTGGCTTTGATATTGTTATTTTTTATTATCAAGAAATTAAGAAATTGAAAGATTGTTTCGTAATTGGCTTTAATTATTTTTCTTATGCACCATTGATAATTGTAAAACTTTTTGTTTATGATTTTGTTTGATTGTTTTTTTTTTTATTGTTTTATATTTATGTATGTAGAAAATAAGATCGTGAATTCGTGAATACAGATTTAACAATTGTACAACGAATAACTAATAAATTAAATCGGACGAATCATTATTCACCATTATCATTTATATCATTTATATGTATATTACATTCTTCCAGCCAATTGATCTTTAAAAAATTCTTTAAAAAATTCTTTAATTAAATAACTGTTGTCAGTATGGTAATTATCTTGACAATTCATAGATATAAATTTTGTTTTCATCATAGCGAAATGATATGAAATTTGTTTTTCTTCTTTTATATCCTAAGTAATAAATTGTTAAAAGAGTCTGAATTAAAGCATTGAATAATAAGAAACGATAAAACATACAATTACATATATCTTTAATTATCTGACTTGTGGATGCTTGTACATAATTGATAACACACAGTTTCTTATAACTAGCCCAGTCAAGTTAGATAGCTAAATTTGCAGATTATATTGACATAATTTCGTAATGTATATGACAATACTTAAGGTCGTTAACAAATTTGTTTCGCGTCGTTTTTCGTGCTTCAATCTTCTTATTATATTCAAATCCTTTATTAATTTATCGAAAAAACCTTATTCAGCTTTTTATAATCATTTGTTGAAAACCGATGTGGGTCAAGCTCTATATTAGTGCGTTGTTTATATAAAACTTTGGTAAGTATTATAACTTGCTTAACAAAAGTATAAAATATCAAGTAATTTTGTAAACAAAATAATTTTCTAGGATTTTTTCAATAATTTAGAAACCTTGAACATGAAATTAAGTCTAATCTTGTTACTAAAAGTAATACTTTAAATGAAGATATAATTGGAGTTCAACTTTTAAACAGCCAATAGGTTATATTTCTCCAATACAACATAAACGTGGTATTACGATGTAAGGTTTACAATGAAATTCCGTTCACTAACCATTCAAGGAATTAGTGAATATTTTCTCACGTTAATAACAATCTTTTTAAGAGGAAATAATGAGGAATTATTGTGAACTAGTTGAATACATAATACTATCTATTTATAGAGTTGCCTAATGTCATCAAAAAAGAATTAATGAAGCATCCAATAAATGACAATATAAAATCAAATTTAGTTCATAGCATAATAATAAACTATTAAACCATTTTAATAATGATTCATTATATCAATAAAAATAAAGTTCACATATGATACATTTATTATTATCATCTGATGAACTTTAAATAACTTTTATATTTTATTATAGCTTTATTATAGGACGCTATTGTTCCAAAAACTCAAATGATATTTTAATTTTTAAACTGTAAATATAATAAATAAAAATAAAGCTTAGTGTTCAACCTTCAAAACCTTTTAAAAACCTTTTAAACCTTTTTAAATTCAAAAAATATAACTTCCAATAGGATAAATTTTAAAGGGAGGAAGCCTAATTAAATTAAAGTAATGATATTTTTGGAGTGACTGCCTTTTTAATCGAATTTCGTGTTACCTTTAACAATTTCGTGTTACCTTTAACCCAATATGAAAATCCATTATTGAGTCATTGCATTTTTTTAATCAAATTATTATTATTATTATTATTAAAAAAAAAAAAAAAGCGATTTTATGATTTGTTTGATTTGATTCGCTTTTTACTGCTTTTACTTCTTTTACTGCTTTTACTTGGTTACATTATGAAATTTTTTTTAAATCCTGGACATACAATTCTCATTTTACAAAAATTGAATAATCCTGATACTCGAATTTGGACTGAATACGAAAATGTTACTATGGCTCTTGAAGGTTAGTTTTCGCGTCTAACTACTGCTACTATTACTACTACTACTACTATACTACTACTACTATAAAATTTGTCAGTCATTCATTCAATTGAAATTTATTATATATATTTATATATATATTTTGTTTATAAAATTTTTCAGCCATAATCGTCATGTTTGAGAAATGGCTTGCAGAAATGAATCCAAATCTTGATTATATTAATTATCAAGTTGGTGATCTTATCGGTTTCATTAGTCAATGTAAAGAATTCACAATTTTGGCCTTTGATTCAACATTAAATGCGTACGTTCCACAAGATAAATCATGGATTCAAGAAAGGGTAGTATCTCATTTAAGAAAAAAACTTGAATTTAATAAAATAAATATTAGTCACGCAGGAGGAGAAGGAGGAGAAATAATTAATAAGAAAAGAGGAAGATATATTTAAATGCATTTTAGAATATCATACATAATTGCTTGTGAGATATATTCTATAAATAAGGTTAGATTTCATGCAGATCGTTTCTATAGAATGCATGCAGATCGCTTTTATTTCCAAAAATTCTCTCAGATTGTTTAATAATTTTCTACACCAATTTTTGCTTCCGTTAAATAAAATTCGCGTCAGTTATTAATAAAATATTTCGTAGTCATTAATTAAATATTTTGAAGTTAATTTATTAAACATTTTGAAGTTATTGGTTATTGGAAACCTTCAAATTATGTTTCCTCCATTATTTGGTTATAGTAATCTTTAACCATTTATAATAATAACTGCGGTATGAATTCTACATGGGAACAAGTACGAAGAGAGGTCAGAGCTTATCGAAACTCTCTTCAAACCACCAATTTTCATAATATCAAAGACTTTTGTTTTGATGACAAAAATAATCGCGCATACTTTTTGGCGATTGATCCTTCACGGAAGAAAACTGCTACTTTATTTTATGTGAATTTGCCTCCTGTGAAGAATGAAGTGGAAAATGAAGAAATCGATGAAGATAATTCTTGGACTTTAATAAATGGCTCAACCGACTCAACTAATGGTGAATGTCATGATTCCTCATTTAGTTTTAATAATAGTGAATTCTGTGTGAAAGGTATGTCGTGAACCTTCATTTTTTTTCAACTCTTCACATGAGACTTTTAATATAAAGTAAAATTTTTTTTTTGATAACATTGAATATAATTTATATATCAAAATAATGTTCAAATATTGTAAAAAATTATAATTATGTAATTTCATAATAAATCTCTTTTTTTTAGAATTTTCTTTTGGTTGTTCATCTATTTCTTATCATTCAGGGTTTTCAACAAATTCAACAACAAATTTTCAATCAAAAAATTCAAAGAAGAAGAAGAAGAAAAAGAAGACAGATAAGATATCGACGGTGGAATGGGATACATTACTTCCCGAACCTTGTTTAAAAGAGAAACCACTTTCCGATTCATTACCACGAGAAGAAATGTTTGTAAAAGAACGAAGGAGATTAGGATTACATGGGATAACCAATTTTCAATTTGATTCTAGGAGTGGACATCTATTGTTTAGTTATGGTAGTGGGATTTATTTAGGTCAAGTTAACAAGGTGATTATTATTATTATTATTATTATTATATTAAAGAAAAAAAGCTTTAAGTAAAATTTTTGTTTTTTATAATGATATTCTCAAAAAAGTTCAATAAAATTATTAAAATTTTCAAATTTTTTTAAATTATTATTTTATTGATTTTATGACTTTTTTATGATTTTTTGTTTTTTTATTTTTATTTTTATTTTTATTTTTTGGGCAATTTTAGAATAAAGAATTTTATCCGCGTCCAATTTTACCTTCTTCACCTTTTTCATCCGGACCAATAATATACCCAGGAAGCATTGTGAATCTTCCAATTACATATTCACAAATACCCAATAGTTTACCACAACAACCCGAAGGTTTATCACCACTTCCTTTACCTTCAAACACTGGATCGTTATTATCATCATCATCTTTATGCTGTTCATCATTTAATAATATTCAACCACCAAGATTAGATCCCAAATTAGGTGGTCGTAATAGTAATTTAGTAGCATTTATTCGGGATCGAGATATTTGGGTCACTACGCTAAATGGATGTGAAACTCAATTAACTTTTTGTGGGGAACAAGATGAGGCATTGAGTTGCGGAGTTGCGGAATTTGTAATGCAGGTAATAAACATTTTATATTTCTTTTTAATTTTTTTTTTTTTTAAAAAAAAAAAAAAATAGATTCATCATATACTCCTTATATTCAAAGGAAGAATTTCATCGTTTTACGGGATATCACTGGGCACCATCACCACCACCAACAACAACATCATCATCATCATTATTGAAAGAAAATATTGAACGAATCTTGTATTTACAAATATCAGAATCAATGGTAGATTTAGTATTAATACCAAGACCCGAACCTCTGGGAGAAATTGAAGAATATCGTTATCCAAAAGCTGGTCAGTTAAGAAAAAATAATAATATAATAAATATCATAAATATTGATATCTATAAATATAATAATAAATATAATAAAATGTTTTAATAATTATAAATATAAAAATATAATAAATAAATAGGTACAAAAAATGTAGCAAGTGATTTGCAGATAGTCGAATTTATTCCACGTTATAGTGAAGAGGAGGTAAAACATTTATTTTATATTTCCAATGGATTTACGTTTATGAATTATTTAAGTAATTCACACAACAGATTTATAAAAGGAAGCAACTTTTGGACCTGTTCATAAAAGACTTTGGGGGCCTACAGCATTGAATAAATTATTTCCTTGGATGGAATATATTGTTCGATTTGGTTGGCATCCAAATGGCAAAAGGTATTCATTCCTTATTTCGATATTTTCAAGAAATAAAGAAAGAAAAGTGTTGATTCCTCTCACATTAATAATAATTACTAATTTATATTATTGATGATCATTTTATATTATTTAATTTACAAAAAGTGTGTGGGTACAATTTCTTGATCGATCACAAAAAAGAACCGCCGTAGTTAAAATTCCAATTGAAAATTTCACGAGTTTTTCTCAATATCGTGAATATCAGAAAAGTGGACAAGGGTTAGATGATTTATGTATTTCACGAGTGGAACTTTTATTCGAAGAGACAAACGATATTTGGATAAATGTAGGTAATTTACCTTCATTTCATATAAACATAATAACCTTTATTATTATTTTAAATTAAAACTGAATTAACAACTATTCTTGTCGTTAACTTTTTTTTATTTTATTTTGATTCTTGATGCATTTTTACATTATACACATTATACACACACATAAATATTATGCATATATTGTATTTGCATGCATATATATATTATGTATTAGGTTTCTGACATTTTTTATTTTTTCAACGGCGATGACGAAGAATTTATTTCTAATAAAATAATAAATACCAATTTATCATCATCTTCAACAACACCAATTTCTTATGATAATTCTCGTCCGAATAATAATGATAATAATGATAATAATGATGATGATGATGATGATAATTCATCATCATCACCGTCATCTATTATTGCCTCCGAAAGGAGTGGGTTTCGTCATCTTTATCTCATAGAGAAACCTTCCGAAACATCAACAGATTATCATGTTAGATCGATAACTGCTGGAGATTGGCCGATTGTTGATCGACCGATATATGTTGATACTAAGAGAGAGTTGGTTTATTTTACAGCTAAAAAAGATACTCCATTAGAAAATCATCTTTATGTAGCTAGTTATGCAAAAGGAGCGGATCCGTCAAATGTAGTACGACTTACCGAAATAGGGTATAGTCATGTAGTAGTATTAGATGAAAAATGTTCAAGATATTTAGATTGGTTTTCTAATGTAAAAGAAAAACCTAGATGTGGAGTAAGATATCTTGAATGGAGTAAAAATACAATATTTCCTAAAACAAGTGAAACATTAGGTTTATTTATAAGAAGAGGTTGTGAAGAAGAGGAGGAAGAGGAGGAAGAGGAAAAGGAGGAAAGGGAGGAAAGTGAGGAAAGGAAGGAAAAGGGAGAAGAGAAGAAAGAAGAAAAGGAAGAAGAGAAGAAAGGGGAAAAGGAAGAAACTAAAGATCGACGGGGTAAATGCCCTCCATTAGGAGAATTTTTCAATTTTAAAAATAGTGATGGAATTACTATATATGGATATTTATACAAACCAGAAAATTATGTCCCGGGAAAAAAATATCCAACCCTTCTTAGCATTTATGGTGGACCTAAATCACAAGTAATGACATAATATGATTCGTATAATTCTTATTTTTTTTTTCTTATTGGTTTTTTTTTTTTTTTTTTTTTTTTTTTTTTTTTTTTTTTTTTTTTTTTTTTTTTTTTTTTTTTTTTTTTTTGTTTTT